AATATATTAAGGCTCTATTTTCTTTTTTCTTGCTTTTTTATCTGTGGAAAAATCAAACACTAATTGCAGATCATGTTGCTCGTTTCACGTGGCTTCAAGCTCTTTCAGCGCTGTTTAGTTGTTCGTGTCAGTGTGTCAGTCTAATGAGAGCTTTGTGGGGATATCAGCTCATATCTGGGAAAGGAGAAGCAGGAGACACTGCAGGTTTCGGATCAGCGTGTGTGTGTGTGTGTGTGTGTGTGTGTGTTCATGACCGTGTGTACCTAGAGAATGATTGAATTACTCAGGGTTAATTAGATTCTGTAGTCCACAGCAATGGTTCAGATACACACATACGCACACTCACTCACAGGGACATCCTTCAGAGGGGCTTTTTCAGGCTTATTGCCTGCGGCGTTGTCATCCGTGTATTAGTTGAGATATTTTCTGGGAAGCTGTGTGGTGCTAAGCAGAGTAGAAGACAGTCAGGAAGGATTTATTACACATTTCTGCTGCTTGTTCAGCCACTCCGGATCAAAATACTGCCGTTTGCAGCAGCTTGCTAAAGGTTAAAACTATGTACTTTATTGCTAGAGGAAGTGTGTCCAGATATTGTCGAAGCCATCATTGCACATCAGCTGAAATACTTGTGTTTCCACTTTGTGTATACCGCAAAATACTTTAGCTTATAAATAAAGAAGCTGAATGACATTTTAATGGCCACTGAAATATCGGGTGAGACGGTAAAGTGTTTTTGCTGCATCTAGCAGAAGGACACTAAAGCACGAGGCAGCTGTGCTGAGTGTTTGAGCAAATCAGTGCACTTTGCATTGATTGGCCGATCGGTCGGCCTCGCGCAATTTACTTCATGCCATTCAAGGGAGATGAGTATACAATTGTTCCCAGCAATTAAACTAAAAATGCTGTTTGGAAATTCAGCAACGTATTTACGGGTCCGCACAGGTTTACTAAGAAAAACTGCATGCTGTGTAATTGCATTTGCAACTGTGGTGCTGAATGGCGAGGATGTGAGTGCAAACAACTCAGCCGTTTCTCCATCCAATACGTCAATGTCATTTTACTTTGGGCTCCAGCGTTGTGTGCCCCTTGCAGATCTGTAACATTTCAGCCAAGGAGTAAATAAAAAGTTAATAACTCCATGAAAACGCTGCACCGGTGATGCTGTGTCACACCACTGCTGAGCGGCCGGAACGTCACTATGTGAAATCGTTGTGCATGTATAATGGAGCTCCTCAGTGTAGACTCACCCATTTTCCACCTACGTCTAGCCCTAATATGTCCCACTGCTCTCTGTGTCAGCACTGGTCTGAGTCACATGAGCTTATGGTATCATTCCAGTACAGTACATCTCCCAAAGAAACTCACTAAAACATTTTTTTGGTCAAACTTTACATGAATGATAAAGATCTTACATCTTTTTATGCGAGGAAAAAAAAGGACAGAATGAGTGTGAAGTGCTGCCCACGTCCCAGAGTGGTTCATGCGGGCCTAGGGCTGTTTTCCCAGTTTGAGAAACAATTAACCAGTCTGGGTTTAGTGTGCATTATTAAGATTGAGAATTTCAATTTAGTCAGCCTGCTACCTAGAAACATTTGGAAAAGCTGAGTATGATATGGCAAATTAAAAACAATGTCTCGCCACTTGCCAGCCATCTGAAGTTCTCCCGACAAATTTTTAACAGTTATTTCAGAGTGTTATCTTTAATTTCAGTGGTCACTGGGGGCACATGAGCTTGCCTGTCACAAAATGATAAAAACTGCATAAAAAGTTTGCTGACTTTGCTCCAAATTGAGAGCCGTATCTCTCTCTCTTTTAATGTTTCCGTTGGTACTCTCAGCTTAGGCGGTAGAGCAGGTGATCTAATAGTCGGATGGTCGTTCGATCGCTCGCTGCTGTGTATATGTAATGTGTGAAAGTGATGTCATCACTTTCTCAGATAGCAGCATCCTATCTCAATTCTGAATATAATCGTGGCAAGTTATTAATCTTGGCCTGACAGACCTGGTGGTTTTTGTTCTTTACCTGGACAAAGGTAAAGTTCAGTCTCTGTCTCTCTTATGGAATATAACATGCATCTTAGTTTTTCATCCGAGCATCTTTTCAGAAAGGTCTGGCTTCCACCTCAGATGCTGTTGCTTCGCTTTCTTCAGTCTCTCTTGTAAAACATCTCTAGGCAAGGATATTTCCTTACGTGGAAAAATCAGGGGCCGTGGCGTTGTCCAGATTAAAAAAGAAGTGTGAAAAGTGCATGTCCACGATTTGATTTCAATTATTTTGCTTCCTTAACATCCACTAAGTGGTAAGAACAGTAAGGTGCATGTGTCATGAATCCAACTGTAAGTTTGCAAGTGCACTTGTTTCTTTGCATATGTGGCCCTTTAAAAGGATTCAGTTGTTTTCAATTGCACTGTATGGCACGTTTATCTATTTAGGTCTGAGTCATTTTGCATCTACGTGGAGTTTAAAGCACACTGTGCATGCGCGACTGTAAATGTGTGTGTTGATGACGATATTAACGTGGATCGGGTCTGATGTAACAGGAGTTAACATTCACATCAAACAGACTGTTAGATTATGGCTGTAGAGAATCCGTTGATAACTGTGCATGTGCTTGTCTGGGAGAGCGGTGTGTTTGCAGCTGAGTGGGGTAACTCAGCACAGAGGGAATCCTTTCTGATCTTGAACGCAGGGAAAAAAAACGAACCCTACTTTCTGTAGTTGTCGTCACAACTCAACTACTTGCTGCCGCCATTTGTAAAAATGTGTTTTTTCCTGTTTGTTCTCGCTCTGTTCTTTTCTTTGATGAAAAACATAAACCATATTTTGTTTAAATAAAAAGGTAAGGTTTGTGATCTCAAGCCCAATGGGTCTAACAACGTTACTGTGTGTCTCTTTGTGTGTAGAGTACAGTCGTTTCGAGGCAAAGATCCATGACCTGAGGGAACAGATGATGACCAGCAGTGTCAGCTCCAGCTCCACGTCTCTCCGCTCCACACAGAAGCGCACACTTTACGTCAGGTACAACACAACGCGCGCACACACACACACACACACAGGGCAGACAGAGGTGACTGATTATCCAGTGTGCATCAATGTGGCACAATCATTCGAAGACCTTATCTCAGCTGTCTACTGTGTGAGGTTATCACATCTGAAATCACAATTAGATGTGTGTGTGGCACAGGGTCACACTCACACATCCACCAGCCTGCCACCTCTGTGAGCGTCCTTCTGTCCT